AAAGATCATATTCTTTTATAGTAGCAACAGTAATAGGTGGCATCTGTTTGAGGAATGCTAATGGGTTTTATTTATTTATTTAGACCCTGCCCATCTCTGGCGATGAAGCATTTAAAATCACATGCAAAGCGCCCTTAAAATCATTGTTCCCCACCCCCACAGCAGATCTGCCAACAAATAATTCCCACTCTTCTGTAGGAATGTGAAACAATTACCTGCGGAGAGTCATTCAGTGGTCCCAGTTTTTTTAAAAAAAATCCTTCTGTTTCTCGAGATATCAAAATGTTGTTTTCCTCCCACTGAGCTCCCATCACTACCACAAGGCTCCTGATACATTGCCTGGAGCCTGGGCTTGGAAGCCCTTGTTGTTCAAAGGCTAAAGCTCAAAGGAGAAAAAGAAAGAAAACAACAAAACCAGCTTGCTCTGGGGCCTCTTAACCCCGTATGGGACATGTTGCCACTGGACCTTTTGCCTTGCCTTGCCTGGCTCCACAATTCCTGGCGGGATTTGACATACTTGCTCACCAGGATTGGAGTTGTACGACCATTCCCAAGAGCCGCTGCTACCTGAATGAACTCTTTATTATTACGCCATAGGAGGAAGAAAAGCCTACCTTTCAGAGTTAAAACTGAAATACAAGGTTAAGGTTCTTGAATGAATACTGGAAAACTGGCATTATCATCATGCCGGAACAAAATCTCTATCATTTCCTTGTACTTTACAGAGGACAGTTCTCAGCTGCAGGGATGCCCTGTCTGAGGCTCTATCTGCATTATACAATGAAAGCAGGATCATACCACGTTGAACATTTCCTCCCCCCCCCCCAAAGAATCCTAGGAAGTTTAGTTTAAAACTGCTGAGAGCTGTTAGGTAAAGGGACCCCTGACTATTAGGTCCAGTCATGGCCGACTCTGAGGTTGTGGCGCTCATCTCGCTTTATTGGCCGAGGAAGCCGGCGTACAGCTTCCAGGTCATGTGGCCAGCATGACTAAGCCGCTTCGGGTGAACCAGAGCAGCGCACGGAAACGCCGTTTACCTTCCCGCCGGAGCTGTACCTATTTATCCACTTGCACTTTGACGTGCTTTCGAACTGCTAGGTTGGCAGGAGCAGGGACCGAGCAACGGGAGCTCACCCCATTGTGGGGATTCGAACCGCTGACCTTCTGATTGGCAAATCCTAGGCTCTGTGGTTTAACCCACAGTGCCACCTGCGTCCCTACACTGAGAGCTGTTAGGAGACCCCTATTCCCCCTCCAGCTCTACAATTCCTGGAGTTCACTGGGAATAGGGTTTGGTTGTTCAACCACTGGGAATTAGAGCAGTTTGTGTATTCTTCCTGAGCAACCACGTGTTGCATGCAGTTTCCTGCATAGAAATTCCAAAGTGCATCCTTGCTTTTTAGGGTTACGTGTGATTGGGGCACCCAGATGCACAGACAGGCCCCTATCCATGGCCAGGTGCTTGCACATTGGAAATTCTCCAAGTTGTTCCAGGAAGAAGACTGGATGGTCGAGTTGTGGATAACAGTATGGCCCCACCCCTCTGTGGGGCCTACACATGAGTAGCACTGCAATGGACTCCAATCTGAAGCAGCAAGTACGTTGGCAGCCTCGCCAACATTTTGCACCCTCCACAGTGCTGCAGTGAGCGGGGAGAGAAATGGTGGCCACCATAAAAAAAAATGGTGGAGAATAATTGGAGGAAAATTCTGTAAAGTGGCCTTTTTCTAGGGGCATGTGAAAAAAGGAAATCTCAGACATTTTCTCAAAAAAATGTTGACAGGTGGGTGGCATCATTCACCTATCAAAATAGATCATGGGGGTGGGGCATGCCGGTAGATCCTATTCACCACACATGTTACTTCTTTTTTCTTCTCATTCATGAACAGTTATCCATCAAGACTGATTGTGTGTGTGTTTGTATGTCTGTGTGTTCACATTACACAGAATCTCCTAATCAGGAGGTTAGGGGCAGAGAGGGCTCCGTTTTGTTTTGTTTTTGTTTTTTTGTTTAAATTGCTGTTATTTTTTACACATGTCATTTTAAACTGTGATACTAATGCCGTATTCTTAGTTTTAGATGTTGATTTATGTGGAAATTGTTTTCCATTTGGTTGTGTCTTTTTTTGATGTGGTTTATTTATTGTTTATGACATTTGTAATTATTCAAATCTTGTCATGTTGTAAGCCACCTTGAGCATTGTTTTTAACTGTGGAAAGGTGGCATACAAATTTTTAAAAAATTATGATGATAATGATGATGATGATTCCTTTGCTTACCAGGGGTCTTATGTAATTCTCTACCTGCATCTTGGTTGCTTTGTTTCTAGTGTTAGATTTCGGTACACAACTGTGAACTTAGGAGACCTTGTTTTTGAAGCTTACATAACAATGGTAATGGATCTGTTTGAAATTGGTTTTAGATTGCGATTAAAGTTAACAGCAGAAAAAGGCTATGTTGTCACAGTTCGGAATGTATGACATGAAAATAAGGTGCTGCTACAAATCAAGGACGGAGCCCAAAATAATGCAGCACTTTTTTCAAGAGTGAATTAAAAATGCCTTCAAAGTGTCCATGCATAGAAAATCTTAGTTTATTGTGCTACCTTTTAAAATAAAAATAAGCATTGCATTTGTCAGTAGCTCTCTAATTTCCTTTGGCTATTTTAATTTTTTCAAAGAAATGACATTTTTCATTGCTAAATCTCTCTCCATTTCCCAAGTAGAAAGCAGCATGCATTTACGAATTGAGTCATATTCCCACGTCTACAACAAAGAGAATACTTTGAAAGACTGGTTTTTTAAATAATAATAATAATAATGTTGGGATATTTATTAACAGCATTATTTAAAGCCTTTTTAAAAACTGCTCTCTGTTCTTTCTGTACCAGGGAATGACGCTACATATTTAATAGCAGATATTAAATGTTTCATATGTTTATGACATGAAATGTACATACAGTATAATCATAACCCTCTGAATTCGGCCACACATCAGAGAAATACCTGCCTGTTTAACTCAGCACAGCAGTCCAAATCTGAGCACCATAGCCACGTATTTATGTATTTATTTATACATTTATTTTCTTACTAGCAGTCTCATACCAGCATTGCTTGGGAATTCTAAGGAACCAATGCAGTTTCGAAAGGTTTACTCTGTCATCTTGAATTAAAACGGTGTCCAGTTGTACCCAAACAGAGACAGAAAGCTGCTTCTTGATCCCAGGAACCATCATGCAAAAATTGGTTATTAAGAGATGTCCAAATACATAGTGAATAGACAGACCAACAACTTGTATATTGAATTTTTATGTATATACAACCCACAAACCAGTGCAGCATCCATGTGATTCCTGGGTAGTCTTCCATCCAAGCAGCAGTGACCCACCAGCTAGAAGGCTGGGAAAGTGCTACTGCCCCACTCTGCCATATGTTACTAGTTGCTGGTTCAAGGGCCTGAAACAAGGTATTTCGAGAGTGATTGTGCAGCAATACCAGTCAAGGATTCCCCCCAGTCCTGGATCCTAAGCTGACCCATTGACAAAGGAGAGGCTCAGTTGAGGCCCTTCCATTTCACCAGATAGCAGGAAGATGTGGTGGTGACTCTAGCACTCTGATCAGATGGTTCCAGATTAGGATCACCGTTTAAGTAATGGATATCATTGTCTCCTATATTTCAGGTGAAGAGACTGAGGCTGAAGGAGTGGTTTGACTAAGACTAAGACCACTTGTGGTATAAATGAACCAAGGACTTCCTGATCCATCAGTTTCTTTAGCCAGTTCACTACCCCAGTTCTCATAAGCGGGAGTTCATCTGATGCAGAGTTCAGGCCTGTGATGTGTTTTGAATGCCCAGGAGCACATGGGAAAGTGATAAAAAAGAGAGGGCATATGAGCATGTGCAGAGTGCATCGTTCTCTCAACTTTATGTAACAACCAGCCCATAAGGAACTGTTACACATATTTAAGAGAGACTACACTTATGGCTTAATGGTATGCAAGTGAGAGAACAGTAATTGCATTTTATTATGGATGGTAGTTGATTCCCACCCCCTGCCCCCTTAAAGAGCTGAGCATTGGAAATGCAAAATATATTGCGTAATAAAATATTATTATGGTGGGTCTGCAGGTGAGGCAAGCCACAGCCATTTGTCTCTGTTCTTTTTACCTTTTGTTAACTATATACACATTGTGACATAAATCTCAAATCATTAGCTGCCCAGAAATGAGCTGGCATGTATTGAAGATATCCCAGAATGCATTTCTCTTTCCAATCAACCCTAGAACTCAACGGTTTAATAAGAGCATTGCTTGTACAGGGCTATTGACCTCTGGAGACCTTTCAGTGGATTTCTGTATGTGTACACAATCTGCCAGGGTGAAGAAGATGAGGCCGTTAGATGCTTTTGAACCCTAGCGTGGCTTTTATAAGGATGATTCATATTTAATTTGAAGCTTCTTGCTCATTTTGTTTCTCCTTTTCCTCCCATTAGAAGGTCTCACAAATAGTGACCTATGTTGTTATTTATAGATCTTGAAGCTTCTTATATTTGAAGAAGGGTCAATAATGCTTGTTGTGGCTGTGGAACAGACTGTGGCCATGTGAATCGTAACTGGGAACAGTGATTAGTTGTACATGATTATGGTCGACGGTAGCCAGGTTGCTACCAAAACATCCTTCAGTCAAGGTCAACACATGCATTGAGATGAGACACCAAAGGACAAAGGATCAGCATCTGAATACACCATCTAGTTAAAGGGCGGACTAGTAAATAAATGATAGAACCAGGGTAGAAAGAACAAGGGGGGCATTGCTTCTAAAGCACCAACATTTGTTGTGCCTTCCAGGTGTTTCAGACTACTGTTCCCATCATCCATGGCCAGTGGCCATCCTGGGTGGGGCTGATGGGAATTGTACACATAGAATCGTAGAACTGCAGAGTTGGAAGAGATCCTGAGGAACTTCTGGGCCGACCCTCTGCAATACAGGAACATCCAGCTGTCCCATATGGGGATCAAACCTGCAGCTTTGGAATTAACAGCACCACACTCTAACCAACTGAGCTATCCAGGTATAGGAACACAGGAAGCTGCTTTATACTATGGGTCCAACTCGCTCAGTATTATCTACAGTGACAGGCAGTCCTACCTGGAGAGGCCAGGGAAGAGACGGATTTAGGGCATCGTGGCCAACCCTGCATGGAGCTCTGAGCTGTATGGGGGCACCGCAGGGCATTGCTAATATGATGTATTGCACACACAGAATAGAAGGTGAGAGGCAGAGCAGAGCCAAATTTTGGCCATGCACAAGGCGCTGCTGAAATCTGAAAGACCAAAGTCTGCCTCTAGGCAGGGCTTCAACCTGAAACTCTCTGCAGGCAGAACAGATGCTCTGCCACTGAGCTTCAGGTGGGTGCTATGTCATGATGTAGCATCTTCCCTCCATCATTCCTTCCTGCCTTACCTACTTCAAAGGGTTATTGTGAGGACAAAGTGGGGCTTTGTGCACCATCTTGGAAAAAGACAGTGTCAGGGTCCAGTTTATGGGTGGTCAAAGTCCTGGCAGAGGAGGTCGGGACCGGGGGCAAGATGGCGGGGTGGGAATAGGAACCAGAGTCCGGAAGCCAGGAGTCAGGAAGCCATGGGTCAGAGAGCCAGGAGACAAGAAACCAAGGACCCGAGGGTCAGGAAACCAGGAAGCAAGAAGCCAAACACAGCAAAGCAGGAAGCGTGTTGCTGTGGCAAAGAGCCAAAGGGAAATGCTGACCTTATATCCCTTCCTGGCTCTTGTCACCAGGTGCTGTGAGTTATCAGTCGTCCTCACCTGTGCATGCCTTGCCTCTTCAGAACAAACTTAGGAAAGCCCCAGTCCTGTGAAGCCCTACCGGTCACAGGGCCTGGCTGCTGCACACACTCCTGACAGACAGGCAATAAGTGTAATAAATAAATCCTACTGTGTTGCAGGAGGGACATAGGAAGCCGCCTCTATCAAGGGAGATCCTTGGTCCATCTTTCTCATTATTGTCTACAATGACTGGTAGCAGCTCGCCAGGGTTTTTCGGCAGGAGTCCCTCCCAAGCTTTACCTGGTGATGCCGGGGATTGAACTTGGCACCTTCTGCATGCAAAGCAAGTGCTCTACCTCTGAGCTATGGCCCTTTTCCTTAAAGAGGGTGAGAAAAGACAACCCTTCTTCCCATCCTCCTTACATCACATTCTGTGGCAGGTGTGGGTAACTCCAGATGTTGGCCCTCCAGATGTTGCTGAACTACAACTCACTTCATCCCTGACCATTGGTCACATTTGCTGGGGCTGATGGGAGTAGTAGTCCAGCATCATCTGTTGTCCCCACCCATGTTTTATGGGTTACTTTGATCTGGATTAACCAATGCGTCTGAGCAGTGGGACTGTAAGGCTTTTTGAGTCTCTCTCTCTGCCACCCTTCCCTCCATTAGATCACATTTCATGTGCAGCAGCAAATCTCAGCATTTGCTCTGTTGTTGCCAAAGATTATCGCCAGAACGACGCTGCCTCGCTCCTTAATCTGTGTCCTGAATTAGATGGGATTTAGAAGTCCATTAAAGTTGGTAAAAGAGAAAGGGAGGGCCCGATGAAAACCATTCTGCTTATTTCATTGGAACGGAACTAATAATCAATGATTTCCCACCCCCAGAGCAGAAGTCACATGTTCACTGATGTGAATAAGTGTCCTGGACAGGCATCAGGTTTGCAAATATAATCAGATGGATGGGGGAGTGGATTCATTTTGCAAGCTGCTTTGCAATTAGCCAAGTGTGTACACAGTATGCAACAGTGATTAAGATCTGTAAGACTGTATGTGCTTTGAATGGGAATCATGCACAATAGGACACAGATGGTGCCAATTATGAAAGTGGACACTTTCTTTAAAAAAAAACCCAGGTGCCCATTTTTGTCCATGAGAGTCCGAAACACGTGAGACCAAAATGTAGAATTGAGGAAATTATGTATTTGTCCTAAACCATGTAAGGAAAAATATATACAGTAGTACCTTGGGTTATAGACGCTTCAGGTTACAGACTCCATTAACCCAGAAATAGTACCTCAGGTTAAGAACTTTGCTTCAGGATAAGAACAGAAATCGTGTGGCGGTGGCAGCGGGAGGCCCCATTAGCTAAAGTGGTACCTCAGGTTAAGAATGGTTTCAGGTTAAGAACGGACTTCCAGAATGAATTAAGTTCTTAACCTGAGGTACCATTGTATTTTTGTACACAGATTCTTGGCATGCACAAAAACCAATGGGGCAGTTCTGTAGGTAAACTCTACAGAAAAGTTGCTTACACAACTTATTTAAGAATATAAGAATAATCTGTTGGATCAGGCCAATGACCCTTTTAGTCCAGCATCCTGTTCTTACAGTAGCCAACCAGATGCCTGTGGGAAACCCACAAGCAAGACCTGAGCCCAAGAGCATTCTTTCCCCATTTTCATAAGCATTACTGCCTCCGAAGCAGACTTTATACAGCCAAAGTCTATGTGGTCAGTTATACAAATATGTTGCCATTTGTAGCAGAAGTCCATTGATTTCAATGGACCTACTTTGAATACGACTTAGTCATATATCACTCATGGAATTTTATTTGATATCTTCCTCTTTCTGTTTCTACCCCCCAGAAAAAGCAAATAAGCAGTAGGAATGCAAGACCAATAAATTTAAACCCTTTCCCCCACTACAGAATAATAAATATCACAAAGATAACAACCTTGGTAGTAGGTCGTATGAAATGAATTGTACTTTTCTATAAAGTTTTCAATTTCTTGCATGTGATTCCACTGTTATGCTATTTTTTGTCACCGGGTTTCGGTACTCCATGTCTGTCTGATGTTATCTCCCAGAACTTCATTGTTAGCTGCATGGAATGTATTTAGCTGTTCATACTGCTGTCTGTTTTCTAGTGTTTTGTGTTTTCTTTCAAGTGACTCTTTTCCTTTACTTGTATTAGATGGATTTGCAAGTCGTCCCTCTTTGAGCTAAGCAGGTTACTTACAACTTGCCTTGAAATGCTTGATGTTGACATCTTTCCCCCTCCCTTCCTTCCTTGTCAACTTGCTCTTGAATGTATCTGAGCAATGTTTGAGAGCATGAATGTGTAAATAGATGACTGTGTGGATACAATGCGAAATTAGATTGCATGCTAATTTTTCAAGTGATGTTCACATCATATCTTTTCCCCCAGGTACAATATTTTATTTTGTACGAAACTGCAAACGAGAAAGAAAGAAAAGCCCAAATACATTTCAGGAGGACATTTTTTAAAAACAAAACAAAACAAAACATACCATCAACCTTGTCAAAAGGAAAAAAAGAATACATAGGTCTTTATATATTTACATTGTAGCATTTGCTAGAATAGTAAAAATTGATAGGTTCATTTTTGCACTTTAACTTGAGCTAGGAGTCTCTGGCCCCTGTTCAAAGAGGAGGCCACGATCCAGCAAAAGTTGACAATTTTTTTTCCAGGCTCACTGATTTTAATGAGATGCTGGCTAGATGGTGTCCAGTCTTAGCATGGGCAGCTTCTGATGTGGCCCAAACAGCATGGCAGCCACAGCCTGTGTCCTTCCCAATGTCTCTAGTAATGTTGGAAAGCGTGTGTCATGTGGGAAGAGCCCACAATGTGATTCCTCACTCAATCAGAACAGTCCCTTCTGGGAGAGAGCAAATGGGAAAGCAGTTCCATAAAGATGAGGCCACCATCACAAATACATTCTCCCCAGTCTCCTCATCTCAGATGGTGGGAGCACCAGGAGGAGAGCACTGCTTGGTGATCTCTACACATAGTTAGACTAGCATAACTATGGAATAATATGTCCCCCAGGATCTCTATTCTGGATAGATTGTAGTTTTGGGGTCATCTTCAGAAGTAGACCCATTGCAACAATCAATCCTGGATGCTGCAATCCATCCATCCATCCATCCTGTGTAACTGTGAGCAGGCTGTTTTAATCCTTGAGATGCCTGTCAGGTGTGTGTGCAGGAGCCAGGCCTTGTGACCAGGACTGGGGCCTTCCTAAGTTTGTTCTGAAGAGGCAAGGCGGGCCTCACCAGCACCTGGTGGCAAGAGCTGTGAAGGGATATAAGGTCAGCATTTCCCTTCAGCTCTTTGCCATAGCAACACGCTTCCTGCCTTGCTGTGTTTGGTTCCTTGACTCCTTGATTCTCGGATCCCTGCCTTCGTGACTCCTTGCTTGCTGACTCTTTGACCCTTGACTTCTTGACTCCCAGCTCTCTGACCCTTGGACTCTTGGCTTCCCGACTCCTGGACTCCCGTTCCTGCTCCCACCCCGCCATCTTGCCCCCGGTCCCCCAGCCGGGACTTTGGTCGCCTATGAGCCAGACTGTGACAATGCCATATCAAGAACATCAGGTGATAAAAGATGCTCAGCACCAGTGGACATCGCAGCAGCCTGAAACTGTGAAACCCATCCTTTAGAGGTGGGGTGAAGAAAAGGGTCCAACTAAAGGGCTGGATCTAGTAGCGGCCAATCCTTCACAGGCCACTATGACAAATGAGTGGGACCACCTAACTGCAACTTCAAGCTGCAACACCTCCAGCTTGAATCCAACCCATGCAGGGTGACAGGCAAAGGTGCTCAATTCAAAAGGAGCTGCATTTTCCTGCACACTTGTGAGTGTGCTCCCGATTCTTTTTTCTTTTAGCTGGAGCTTGACTTTCTGCAGCTTGACCTTTCTCACACCAGACACCATGTATGATTTATCCTGCTTTAGAGGGAACACAACCCTGTCTAGAATGAGCCGAAGCATCTGCTTATAACACCTCTGTCTTGTCATAATTTCGACCACATCCAAACCAATCATTTAAAGGAATATGATGCCATTTTAAACAGTCATTGCCCCCCACCCCCCAAAATAATAATAATTCTGGGCGCTGAGTTAAGGTGCTGAGAATTGTTAGAAGGCACCTATTCTCTTCACTGAGCTACAATTCCGAGAGCAATCAATACCTATTTCCAGGGAAGTGTAGCTCTAGGAAGGGGAAAAGGCATCTCCTAACAACTCTCAGCCTCTAAGTTCCAGTTGCAACCTACCATTCCAAATTACCTTTAAAAAGAGTGGGAAGAATTCTGGATGGTGCTTTGCTCTGTTAAGCCACCCATGTTGAGTGTAAGAGTTTAGGATTGCAGGGTCATGTCCAAACATAATGGCAGATAGGATTTTCAAGGAGACCTTTGGACAAAAAAGAAGAAGAGGGAAATGTGTCTTATATTGAAACACTAGCATAATGTGTGGGTGAGAGCCAATGTAATATTGGAACAAGAGAATTGAGAGTTTATGCTACTGCACAGGCGGTGGAACAAGCAAGAGCATACGAAGTAGCTCACGAAAGCTTAACTGTGGCTGAGTATAATAGTGGTTTTGTGACGGGCTGCACAACAGCTTTGGCAAGCCATTGGATTCAGCTGCTGAGCTGTAACAGCAAGATTCCCTCTATTGGAATGGCTTCAGCACAAGCAGGTTGCCCCAATTAGATATATCAGTTGGGAAATAATAATAAATATTAGCAAGCAAATATGAGTTAGGAAATAAATATAAATATATTACAGGTTAGAAAATAATATATATCAGTTTGGAAATAATAATAAATATTAGCAAATATGTATTAGTGCGTGTGTGTGTGTGTGTATATATATATATATATATATATATATGTGTGTGTGTGTGTGTGTGTGTGTGTGTGTGTTAGGAAATATTAAGAAAAAACTGGTGTTATTTTTATACATTGATTTTTTTTTTTACTTTGGTAGATTGCATGCATATTTTATTAATTTAAAATTGTGAACCGCCTAAAGCACACAGTTGATTGGGCAGTTGAGAAAGGCCCAAATAAATAAATGATCATGGTCTTGCTATTAAAATTTTTAATCAATAGAACGCCCTTAAAGCAAGAACATTTTTTTTAAAAATTAAAATAAAATAAAAAACAGACCTATTTAGGAAGAAGAGGTCTTGTGATCACATGCTTGGGAGTTATCATTACTTGCCAGTGTCATAGAAAACATTAGATATGATTAGCTGCAGGTATCAATGCCAGATGATACCGGAGTGAAGTTCTTTTTTAAAATATATATTTCATCTCATAATTGTATTTGCAAGTTAATGTTTGAAGTGTCAGTCTTTGTAAAATTAGTTCATCTTGTTATGATTTGGGGGCTTTGATGTGAGTGAGAGGCTTCAATTGCAATGCGCAGTCACATCTGAGAGTAAACTGCAGAGACAAAGAGACTTACAAGACTAGTAAATCAAATACTGCAAACTGTCTGTGTGGATTATGAAGGACTATTTGCATAACTTTGAAGTATTTATACTGATGAAATTACAATAATTAAAATCATTGCTGTGTCAATTGCTAGATGCCACAAGGCATAGCAATTATGAGCATGCAAATCAGACTTTGTGTAAGCATTTTAAAGAATAATTACCTTATTTGATTCAGATGTGCCTGAAAGGCATTAAGAAGCATCACAGCTATATTGACTCCAACCATTTTTAGGCCTTAATACAATATTGTTATTGTTATTGGCAATAATGCTTTTTTTTTGTTTGTAAGCACACACTTCCTTTGATAGTTTTGCTTTGTAAAACTTCATGCTGTTAGTGAAAATAAATAAAGCTAGAATGCATTGCTCCTTCTGATTTTTAAAATTTGCATTGCAATTGATTTCAAATCCGTCGTCAAATCATACTGGGACAAACTGGAAGTCTTTAAACTTTAATTGATTTGCACTATAATCAGTCAATGTCATAAATCCAATTCAGAGTGCAACTTCAGAGGCTGTGCAGCTTAAATCCTGTGCATGAACTGAGTTCAGTGGTGCTTACTCTCAAGAAAGTGAAGGCCGAATTGCAACAGCTGCCTTTATTATAGACAACATTGCTGCATTCAAACACACAAGGGCCTTTTGCTTAATCTTCACATATGGAGTACCCACATCTGGGAATGCTGGCCAAATCCTGCCCCTCACCCTCCAACTACATCAGGGGTCAGCAAATGTTTTCAGCAGGGGGCCGGTCCACTGTCCCTCAAACCTTGTGGGGGGCAAAGATCCCTCCCTGACCTACTAATATTACCTCATAGCATACTAGGCATATTTTTGTACTGTATACAGGCAACTCCCCACTTACTCGGGGCATATGTTCCAGGCCCAGTGCACATAAGTGAATTCTTTTGTGCTCCATCTTCCCAATCACCGTACAACTTTTCTGCAGAGAATATGCATCCCACGAAAACTGCTCCCGGTTCCCCGCTGCTGGGGGAAGAGAGAATGTGATAGGCAGAGAGACTCCCTGACAATTAAATCCCATCCAGAACTCCGTTTCAATGTAGCTCCACTGAGAAGAATACTTAGCATAATAGTTAATCCCGGCCTGGTTGATAAATCAGCCTTTAAAAGCAATATGCTCATGTATATATATATCATATTATCTAAATCTCTTTATACTTAGCTTTGCCACAGTAAAACCTTACAAACCGAAAGTTGAAGTTTGTTTTCAAATCAAATTAAACTTTGGCTCCTCCAGAGCTTTCAGCTTGTTCAGAATGCAGCAGCACGTCTGAGCACTGGCTTGCTGTACTGTGATCATATTACAACCAGCAGGCTTGTATTCTTTATGTTGGCAGACTATCAAGTGGTGGGCTGTTGGTACTCTTAATAAATGTTAAATAGTAGCACTAGTAAGTTCATGTCAAGTAAGGCACTGTTGATGTTCAAAGCTCCCACCCCTCTTTCCATCTGATAGGTATCTGTGTTCAAAACATACCCAGGGCTTAATGATCTGGAAACCACATTTTAAATAGCTGTCCATTTGGGCCTCTATTATTTAAGGTGGAAATTTATGTTGTCCTTCCTGAAGTCTGTTTCATCCCATCTTTTCCACTTTAGAATAATGGATCATAGAATTGTGGAGTATGAAGGGACCATCTAGTCCAACACCCTGTAATGCAGGAATCATTTGCCCAATTGTGGAGCTCGAACTCATCACCTGAGATTAAGAGTGTCATGCTCTGCCGACTGAGCTAATGAGGTTTAAAAATGTATTTTAAGCTCTGGTTTAATTTATTTCTTATCCTTTTAAAAACTTTTCTTTCAAAAGCCTGTTATTATTATTATTATTATTATTATTAATTATTATTATTATTATTATTATTATTATTATTATTACATTTGTATCCCATCTCTACAAAGAGCTCCATGTGGCTTACATAGCTCTCCTCCTCTCTATTTTATCCTCAAAAAAACTCTGTGAGGGTTAAGCTACCAGTAAGTGACTAGCCCAAAGTCTCCCAATGAGCTTCATTGCCAAGTAGTAATTTGAACTCAGGTCTTCTAGGCCCTAGTTCAAACACTCTAACCACTACACCACACTTTTTTTCTGGCACACACACGCTAACCACTGTGCCACACTGGCCCACTTTATTAAGGCAACCAAAATCTCACCAAATAGTTTAAAAGTTGATGAGCCTCCACAATTCTTCATCGGAGATCAGGTTATACACAGCTTCCTTAATTGTAGAAAACAGGAACCAAGCGAAACTAGATAGCCTTCATATTACCAAAGGCAGAAATTAATTTTAGGTGGTATCCTAGCTTCCACCCAGGGAAGAAGGCCAGATCTGGACAGAAGGCATGGAGATGCCCCAACAAGTTTACATGCTCTACCTGCCATTTTTCTAAAGACAAGAGGTGGAGTACTCACTGGCAAGACTCAGTTGCTCTGTGGGAATGAGTGCTCCATTGGGGTGGATCGGTAGTTCTGATTCCGTTCTCTTGGTCTCCCGATATAGAAATTGGCTTTTGCACAGCATCAGAGGTTAATCCCTTGTTCATTCTATATTCCAGAGAGAATTTAATAGCCAAGATTTATGGCTTGGCTACCATTAATCACCACATAATTATCTCTGTCAGTGAGTTGCCAACAGAAGATGTTCAGTCCGCCATATTTCTCCCCTGGGCTTTTTCTATGTTTTAAAGCAGCTTTCCCCAAATTGTGCCATCGTAATATCTTAGACCAGGACTGGCCTGCTATAGGCTGGGCTGAGGCAGCTGCCTCAGGTGGCAAAACCCCACCAAACCGTGCCCCCATGGGTCTTGCAAGATATTGCCGCAACCCGCCATTGTCGCTTCGCAGGCATCACCACACAACCCAGGTAAGGGAGGTTTGGGCAGGAGTGGTGCAGTGCGGTGGTGCGACACTGTCCCATTTTACCTCAGGTGTTGAAATGCGATGCACGGCCCCTGCCTTAAACTACAACTTCTAGAAGTCCCAACCAACAAAGCAGAACCCACGCTGGCTAAGACTGATGGGAATTTTCATCCAAATCATCAAGATGGCACTTGTTTTGAGAAGACTATTCTAAAGAGAGAGACACCTACTTTGATAAAGGCACACAAGAAAGAGGCCCGCATTTTGTTTATTACCTGACTCTTAGTTATCATTCAAAACATGCGGACTCTTGTCTACAACAGTGTTTGCTGTCTGGATCTTCTTTGACTATAGTATTTGTTTGTTCCCCCATGCAATGATGTAAGTGAGTGCACATCCATTTTCGTCTTTCCCATTAGCGTTTGCTTTGTGGCTTAACATGCCCGTTAGTTTATAATACTTGTGCGCCTCATCAACCAGTAGCTCTCTCTTTGCTTCTCTCCATCTCCCTGCGCTTTACTCCCCCCACCGCTGCCATTCATTTTGCAATGAAATAATTTGCAAAATAAATTTATTTCCCCTTTCATTTTGCCGGTTCGTTCTCTAGAAATGTAAAACTTATTTTCCTAGTGTCCCTCTTGTAGAAACGCTAACTACAGTGTGATTGATCCCAGTCAAATTTTGAAAGAATTCATCCAAAAATGTGTGCTGTTTCTTGAGACAGCCCTACAGTAGTTTGAGAGCGAGGCCACATTATACAAAGTATGGGACTGGGCTCTTAGGTTTACCCCATAGGGTTAGGCTATGGATTAAATGGGTCCACGAGCCATGAATTAAAGTGGGCTCTCCAGGGCTTCAGACAGGGCACATTCTGAGCCCTACCTGGAAATTGAACCTGAGACCTGCAGCATGATGCTGTACCACTGAACTGCAACCTTTCTACTGAGCTACCGTTTGCCTTCAACTGGACAAAGCACACCTCCCCTTCTTATATGAACTGATTCTGCTTGGCATCAGTAAGAGCTAAATTTTGCTAAGTAGAAGTGCTGGTGGGGAGGAGGAGCCATGATGTGAGACAGACTCACTTAGGTCATTATCATTCTGTCACTGCATCAGACACCGGGAGGCGGGGGAAGGATGCTGCTTTTGCCCCCACTCTAAGGCACAGTGCCATCTAATAGCCTTTCTGACCAATGGCAGATGACCAGGTGCCCTATCTACCTCTGACTACTTGAGTTTGATAATAGGATCATAGAATTACAGGACTGTAGATTTGGTAGAGACTACAATAATAATAATTTATTATTTATACCCTGCCCATCTGGCTGGGTTTCCCCAGCCACTCTGCGCAGCTCCTAACAGAATTGATGATGATGATAATAAAGCAGCGATAAAACATCAGACATTAAAAACTTCCCTAAACAGGGCTACCTTCAGATGGCTTCTAAACGTTAGATAGTTGTTTATCTATTTGTCATCTGATGGGAGGGCATTTCACAGGGTGGCACTACCGAGAAGGCCCTCTGCCCGGTTCCCTGTAACCTCACTTCTCGCAGTGAGGGAATCGCCAGAAGGCCCTCGGAGCTGGACCTCAGTGGCTGAATGATGGGGGTGGAGATGCTCCTGCAGGTATTCTGGACCGTGGCCATTTAGGGCTTTGAAGGTCAGCACCAACACTTTGAATTGTGCTCGGAAACGTACTGGGAGCCAATGTAGGTCTTTCAAGACCGGTGTTATATGGTTTCAGTGGCCACTCCCAGTCACCAGTCTGCCACATTCTGGATTAGTTGTAGTTTCCGGGTTACCTTCAAAGGTAGCTCTGCATTGCAGTAGTCCAAGCAGGAGATAACTAGAGCATGCACCACTCTGGCGAGACAGTCCGCGGGCAGGTAGGGTCTCAGCCTGCCTACCAGATGGAGCTGGTAGACAGCTGCCCTGGACACAGAATTGACCTGCGCCTCCATGGACAGCTGTGAGTCCAAAATGACTCCCAGCCTGCGCACCTGGTCCTTCAGAGGCACAGTTACCCCATTCAGGACCAGGAAGTCCTCCACATCCACACCTGAAAACAGTACTTCTGTCTTGTCAGGATTCAACTTCAATCTGTTAGCTGCCATCCATCCTCCAACCACCTCTAAACACACAAGGGTCATTTAGTCCAATTTCCTGCAATGCAGGGATATTTTGCCTAATGTGGGGCTCAAATTCACGACCCCGCGATGAATAAATATACTTATGCATAATAGAGCTAGGTCAGTTATACTCCTGGCTTTTGAAGAAAGTATCTTTTAAAGGAATCTGTGAAAGCTGTCCTCCCCTAACATGGATATCAGTGATAATACACTCCTAAGAATAGTTATGGAGATAGTATAATGCACTTAGTGAAGGATTATTAGTTCAAGGTATGTTCAAAGAAATTTGTTAAAGATAATTTATTAACCCTGCTCCTGCCTAAACTACAGGGAGCTTGCTGCCGTCTAATCCCAAAGAGACAAGAGATGTTGTATGTGTGAATTATTTGTTAATCCCAATTATTTGTTAATCCCAATGGCCTCTGTGGAGTTACCCTGGCAAAAGATTAGAGGCCTATTTTGAGTTGAGAACACAGAGTAGAAACATCTCATTATGCTCAATTTTCCTGGGAAATTAATGGTTCACTCCGTGAAAGAACACCCAGGATCTGGAAGCTTCTCAGAGAAAATACTTAACAGCTTTGGTTCTGGTGCAGGAAAACTATTCAGATATATACTTTATGTACATGAACAGACTTACTGCATTCACTAAGGGAACTCGTGAACTTCAAATGTCCTTAAAGTGCTTGTGAGATGTGAGTTGTTATTCCTTTTTAGCTTCCCTGCAAGGAAAAATAAATGCATTACTCTTGAACATTTGTAAGCCAAACTGTGTTTTGTTGTCTTAGCAACAAGTAATGATGACACCTGTTTTGTTACTTGGAAATGGAAGATGCTGGCATGTGCAGCAAGGCTCGCCGTTAATCGCTAGATGCTGTTTTTGGAATCAAAGAATTAGAAGTTTCGTTTTGAGAAGAACAACATCAAAGTTCACCATTGTGGCAATCCATTGTGTTTCCATAGAGGCGCACTCTCGGCTAGCTCACCTCACTCGTTCATGAATGTGGAATCTATCTGTGCACAGTGGGGTGTAGGCTCACGTACAGAAGCCATTACACATAATACGTGGATTCTGTGTAAGTGAATACATTTCATCAATGTGTATGGCACGTCTTATTTCTGTGATCCTTGCTCCCCTGTTTTTTGAGGGAGAAAGCATGCAGAAATTTGGGGTGTCGTGCTTGTGCATGAATGCAGGTGTGCCTGATCTGAACACGCTTCCTGAACATGATGATGAATATGTCCTTGCCTTGCTGCATATAAAAATTCTCAGCAAGTTAACCACTCCATTGCTATCTGGTACTGCTTTACCACTGGTCCCCTTTAGCCAAAATGATTTTCTCCCCCTTTTGGAGTGCAGGGGATGCTTCTTTTAATAAAAGACGAAGTGTTTCACTGCCTGTATATAAGCTAGGCTAGAGTGGCTATTTGGAACTGGTTCCTTCGAAATGCTGTGACATTGTACTTCAGCGGTGCTTTCTGTGTTCGACATTCTCCTCCACCTACCTTGTCAGATGAAGTTACTTATAATACTGTCACTGACTTAAACTATACAGAGTATAAGAACACACTGAGGCATGTCTCTCTTAGATGTTTGGGACCTTGTGAAAGAGTCAGTGGGGCTTCATCCTCCTCCCACTTCTGAAGAGATATTTTGCCAGTATTCTCAGGAGTCTAAAGGAGATTGAATGATAAAAGGGGAATTCATATAAGAATGCTATAGTCTGTAGCACTTTGCTTAAAAGAAGGTG